CGGGGGGGGGGGGGGGGAGCGGCCTAGCCTACTCACTGGTCTTGCTCTTCACATCCAAGCCAACCTTGACCCCTTCATCTATAAATGCCACAACTCTCCGGAAGTCATCCTCACGAAACTGTCGAGAGGTCAAGGCTGGTGCCCCTGGGAGAGAGGCAGAAGAGGAGTAGCATGACCCACGCCCCCGGCGCAGACCCTTCCCCCCTGGAACCTCAGGTCTCACCAAGCCGAAGACCCCCGGGTGTGATGGCACTTCGGTCTCCGGGACAGGTGTTCTTGTTGGCCGTGATGGACACAAGCTCCAGCACCCGCTCAGCCCGCGCCCCGTCCAGGCCCTTGGGCCGCAGGTCCACCAGCACGAGGTGGTTGTCGGTGCCACCTAAGGCGGGAAGAGCAAACAGAGAATGGTGAGTCCTGGGCCTTGGCCTGAGGCCACAGAGGCTCTCACCCACGCTCCTGGCTCACCAGACACCAGTGAATAGCCTCGATCTAGCAGGGCATCAGCCATGGCCCGAGCATTCTTCAGAACCTGCAGGGAGTACTCCCGGAACATGGGGGTGCAGGCCTGGAGATGAGACAGCAGCACCTGGGACCCCAAGTCCTGCCCCTTCTACTCCTCCACCTCTAGCATAGTTGTGACTCCAGTCTTGAGGCCTCCCCTCCTGGCCCTTCCCTTCCAACAGCTCCATTTTCAGTTAGCAAGAAGCAGGGTCTGAGCATCCAGATGCCCACCACCCGACAATGGTAGGCTCCCCAACCTGCTTTAGGGCCACGGCCACTGCAGCAATGGCATGGTTGTGGGGGCCCCCCTGCAGGGACGGGAACACAGCAAAGTTGATTCGGTCCTCAAACGTATAAGGGATCTCCCGGCCAGTCTTGGGGTCCACAGACTGCACCCCCTTCCGGTAGAAGATGAGTCCTGACCTGTGTGGGAAGAGGGTGGTCAGAATCTAAGCTGAAAAGAAAGGGCAAGGGATGGGGAGAGCACAGGAAGCCGGCTGGCCCCCAAGGGCTCTCAGGCCACCTCAGTTGTGCCGGGTGTGCTTGGCTCCAGGGCTTGAAGGGAACAGAATCTTCCTCCCACCTCCCACCCCCAAACTCCCTGCCAGGGAACTGCCACCATGGGCAAGAAAAGGAGAATCCTCAGACTGGGTAGAACTCTTTAGGGAGAATGAGTTCCTCTCTGATCCAGACCACCAAGGCCCTGGGAATAAGGCACGAAGGCAGGGAAAGGCAAGGCCTGGCCTCAGGGGAGCCTGACCTGGCCCCTCGAAGGGTCTTGTGAGTGGTAGTGGTGACAACATCCGCGTGCTTGAAAGGTGAAGGGATCACCTTGGCAGCCACCAGGCCACTGATGTGGGCCATGTCTGCCAGCAGGTGTGCCTTGACCTCATCACACACCTGGGCAGGGACAGAAACAGGCCTCAGTCAGAGGAGGGTCCAGACAGGCCTGCGCAAGACTGTCCCTCCTCCGAAATCTCCCCACCACCCCTTGGGCAGTGGCAGGTACCCCAGCCCTCCACCAACCTCCCTCATGCGGGCGTAGTCAATGAGGCGAGCATAGGCACTGGTACCAGCTATGATGAGCCGTGGTCGGAAAAGCCGAGCGGTGATTGCCAGCTGGTCATAGTCAATGAGGCCAGTTTGGGGCTGGACAGACAAAGAGCTAAAGTCCTTAAAAAGAAGGAGTGCAGCTCACTCTGCTCCTTGACCTTAAAGGCTGCCCAGGGCTTCAGCCTCTAGCTTTTCCCAGGAGAGGTTCCTAGGCCTTGAGCAGCTCCCTCCCCAGACCCTAGAGCACTCACTCACATTCAGTTTATAGGGCATAGACTCAAAGAAGATGGATGTGGCTGAGATCCGCTTGACATCAGACATATAGCCATGGGTGAGACTGGGAGGGGAGGAGAGGAAGTGAGAAGGCTTCTAAGTGGAGTAAGACCCACTCCTCTCCTGCCCTGCTCCGAAGGCTCTGTCTCTGACACCGCGCCTGGCGTGCACCACCCTCACTGCTCTGCCCACTCTGTGCTGAGCACTGGTTCCTGGGGTCTTATCTTCTCCTGCACTGAGACTGAAGGACAGGGAGAGGCCTGTTCCAGCTGCATGGCCCATGGCAATAAACCACTCCTCTCTCGTGCCCATATGGCCCAGTGAGCCTACCAGCCACCCCCCGCACCCATACTCACTGGCCACCGTCAGGCAGGTCCAGCCCCATGATTCGGTCGTGAGGCTGCAGAAGGGCTGTGTAGGCAGCCAGATTGGCTGGGGACCCCGAATAAGGCTGGACATTGACTCCCCACTGCGCAGGATCCAGGTCAAAGGCCTCCAAGGCCCGGCGTTGACACAGCAGCTCGATTTCATCCACTACCTCTGCTCCCCCATAATATCTGCCACGGGAGGGGGCATATCAGGGCACAGAGAAAGGGTCCCACCACCCCCCTTGAAGTAACGAAGGAGCAGGAAGGCGGCTCCTCTAAAGGCACTGGGAGGGTGCAGGCCGGCGTCCCCACTGGGAGCACGGTCCCGAGGCTGCCCTCCAGCCCGCTGGTGCCTCGCCCTCACCTCTTGCCAGGATAACCCTCCGAGTACTTGTTGTTCAGACAGGACCCCAGGGCCTCCAGCGCAGCTCGGCTGCAGAAGTTCTGGGGTGAGGGGTGGGGGCAGTGTCAGAGGTACAGAGCCCCTTCTGAGAGACTCCCGCAGCCCACCCCGCCGGAGCCCAGGCTGCAAGGAGCTGAGCTCTACACAAAGCTGTTCATTCAAGGTTCCTTGTTGGGCTTGGGGCATGGCCAAAGGCAGCGTCCTCAGAAACCAAGCTGCCATGACAGGTGTCCCCGGCAAGCCTGCCTGTCCACTGGTACCTGTGCTTCCAGGTTTCTCTTTTCTCTTGGGAGGGGGAAGGGACCAGACTTGACTGGAGGGGCCCGGAAGGCTCTGGAAGCTCTCTAATGCCCCCATCCCATAACCCAGACTGGCTCTGCCTTTGCCTCAGAGGACAGTAAGAAGAGAGAGAGAAGGCCCAGCAGGAAGGCCCTGAGTCTGAAAAGGGGATCTGGAGAAAGAGCAGTAAGATGACCTGTTACTTCCTGTACCCATGGCGGCCCAAGCCTTGGCCCCTCTCCCCAGACCCCACCTCTGAGGCAATGAGTTCCAGGCCACGACACTGCCTGTCCTTCTCCCTCTGCAGCAGCTCCCACATCTCAGGGTCACTGTCTGACAGACTCTCCTGGCCTGTCCAGCCCCTGGTGGCTTCTCCAGTCTGGGTCTGGGCTGCTTCACTGTGCTGGCACCGCGCGGCCATCCTGACCAGCGGACCACATCTCCGCAGAGGCTAGGGGAGGAAAAGCCAGGGTCAAACAAAAGGGTTCAAACAGTCTCCCAACAACCATCAGCCATGCGTATCAGGCCCTCTGGCTCCAAAGCCAACAGCCGGCTGTCCGGCCTGCCTGTTCCAGTTTTCGCCACCCCCACCTCCAAAAGCCAGTTCTAGAGCCAAGCTGAGATCAATGTCCAGGGGGTGGTTCTGAATCCATCCATTCACCTCACCTCAGAACCTTCCTCCACCCGGACCCCTGAACTACTCTGCAAAGCCAGAGGACAAAGTTTGTGTTCTAGAAGCTAGAGGTTCCGGAACCTCTCCACTCACTGGAACAAACGGGTCTTCCCTGTAGGGGCTCCATAAACTGATATCCCAGTCACCGGGGAGGAGACCAAGTTGCAGGGATTAAGAGAACAGGCTTACCATAGTTAGAGGTGGCTTTCAGAACATTGGAGGTAGCCATTCAATGTTCTGAAAACCAGAGTAGATTTTTAGCAGTCCCAGGGGGAGAATGGTGGGGGTGGGAGTGGGGGTGAGGGGCTGATG